GAGTCCGTCGTGTGCGTTTGTGTGCTCGATATATACAAATAAACATAAGCAGAGAGCAGGCGAGCAGGAACGATTAGCAGGCTGGCAGAAAAACGTAAAGTCATCGACATAGGCAGCGGCAGAAGCAGCGGCAACCGGCATGTGTGTGCGTATGTGTTTATGCGAAGACGGGTGGAGTGTGCGACGGATGTTAATGTTACCCCATGAAAGCTAAAAACGGTAACAGACGACGCTACTGCGACGGACTCGTACAATTTGTACGTACACATGTAACATATGTACATGCATATGTATGTAGACATCTACAGAGGTACATATGTAATCTTGTCTGTAATGAGCAATAACAGAAAAAAGACAGCGACGCTGGCAGAGCGAAAGCCAAAACCAGAAATGGTATGAAACTGAAATGTAATAGGCAGCAGCAGCACCATCGTCGAAAGCGGTGTTCAGGGGGAAACGATATTTTAATATGTACAGGTACAAGCCACAATCATACGTACATACATACATACGAACATATGTATTCACGTGTATGAAAACATATGTAAGTATGCTGTCTGACTTGTTCATACATATATGTATGTATCTGAATATAAACATATGTATGTACATGTGCCTGATGTTGATGACGTACAATACATACAAAACAACAACAGCAACTCAATTTTTTGTGATTATCAGCCGCATTCGGCCGGCGTTTAGCGATTTAGTTCTGTACACTGGCCGCCAACAAGTAAGAAAGGCAGTGTTTTGTTTTTACAGGCGAGGTCAGAAAATGTGGCCATGTATACTTGAAGCGAAAACCTAAGTTTTTAATGAAATTGCATTTATCCATTAAAATAAATCAATTGATAGAGTCATATTTACTTATGGTTCGGCTCTGGAGATGCTAATATGAATAAAATAATAAAACATAGGGACCAAGACTAGCATCAAATCTAACCCATATCCCACATGATAGTGAAAAATTTTGCTGGCGAAGAAACAAGCCGTGATCTGTTGGGAAAATTTGGGGTATTGTTATCGTGACGTTGCAGTTCCACACACAATCGCAACGAATGCAATTTGATTTAATCTGAAAATGGTTCCAGAATTTTCCACTGATCAGCGGTGACTGCAGAGAAAATTGCAGCATCATCGAAAACAAGCATCGTCAGACGTGTGAAGAGCGAAAGCGAAGGGATCCACAATCGGTGCGTGGCCAAAAGCTGATAAGTAACATGGACTATGGAAGCCGTCACCGATGACAGTGACAGTAATGATGACACTTACGAGTGCTGCACAGATGCAATAGTCGGGTCCAAAGAGCCGATTAAGCCGATTGATCAGTTTCACTGACCCTGTGCCGACGTCAGAATCGAAAAAGGGGGACAATCCGCTTGTGTATTTTTCCGTTGTTCTCTCCTGTGACTACACCAGCATTCTGATGTCCACAAGTCAAATGTGTCAAGTGTGTTTTTGTGATTGGTCAAATCAGCATAACTCTTTATAATATTTTGTAACCTGCACAACGGAATTTCCGTGCGCTCAGCTCTCTCACCCCGTTGGCTAATGTGTGTATTAAACAGTTTTAAATACCGGTTGCTATTGTACGAGAAATTGCTATTTATGCGTTCAACAACGTAGGCCATATGCACTGACATTCATTCCCCGCCGACCAAGATAGTTGTGATGTAAATACATGTTTACATATGTATGTACATACGAGTATGCTTTGTGAGTGTGTAGAAATGAGTTTGAATGAGTTGCTGCAAGTGTTTCGTTCTGAACGAACGGGAAGTCCGGAGGGGGAGCTGCATGAACATACATACATACATACAAACATATGTACTTGTATGTAAATACATACACTTGTATGTCGCTTGTTTGTCGATATGTAGCTACACGTGTTATTTGATTTTCGTTTCGCTTTTTATGTCCGTCTCCATCTCTGTCGGTGTCTCTGTCTGTGCTATTGGCGCTGTTGTTGGTACATGAATATAAAATGTTGTTTATCTGTCCCCGCCACCCCACTTATCCCCCTTTCGATTGGAACACTGCTTCGTGCCCCGCCTCGGCTGGCTGCTGCCTGACTCTTTTAGTAGTTTTCTGTGAGCGAGAGTGCGAGTGTGTGTGTGCGTGTGTGGGTTTTGTATCGTTTTTGTGTGTCGTGTGTGTATGTTTCCTTATTGTTGTGTGTACTTGTTTGCTGGCTCTGCTTTGCCTCTGCCACTGCCACCGACTCTGCTTCTACCGCTGCCTGGTTGTCTGGCTCACTTGCTAGCATGAACTTTTTGCTTTGGCTCTGTGCTGACGCCTGCTAATCAGTGCTGTGCGCCGGGTTATTTCGCTATATCTATATGTACACAAACAAATCTACAAAAGTCACCGACGACATGCACATGCTCATGCTCTTTTGTTGCTCTCTCCCCCACCTACTGGGCTAACAATCAAAGAGAACACACATTAGGTCATGCATACACACATTCATATGTTGGGGTGCGTGTAAATATGTACAAAACATATTGTTACACATGCCGAAACCGATGTACCCTGTGTGGTGTGGCGATGGTGTGGGTATGCATATTAGCATTATTATGACCATAGCATATGGCAAATTGCTTTTAATACGTATCAGACTCTTCAAGTGCGCGTCATCATGAGTAATAGGAGCATGTACAGTGGAGCGCCAAAGACTAGATACGAGCGTAATTTCCAAGCATTATGAAAATACATAATGTTATTAATAACGTTTTCTAGGAAAAATGCTAGATCCGATATTGCATTGCTCACCAACTCTACTCGCATAAATTGTCTCCCACTCCCTATAGTCTTCTGTTCTTAGAACATTCAAATCGGTTACGCATTTGGACTAAATCGTCCACTGTAATTACGTGACGAGTTCCTAGTGGCCTGGTCATTCAATGAGTGACAAATCATACAACCACCAACAATGTCAGTCTTTAGGGTGAAATTTGAAGATCCTCGTGGTGTGGTCAACCTCCTGTACAAGTATGTACATCCACCCAACCTGTACATTCTGGGTTATAATAATGCAAAACAAGTACATATGTATGTACATATGTGCATACTTATGTACATTTACATGTAGATATTCATACATATGTATGTACATAAACGTGTCTAAACGTAAACTAAAACGTGTCGTTTTAGGACCACCCTAATCGCACCCGTTGCATGTTCAATATTCATTTTATTGTTAGCTCTATAGCTGTCTAGTTCACATTTAAGGTGAGTTTTCCTCTAACACATGCCTATGAATCCCATTTGTACATATTCCGGGTTTTTTATATTTTCTTTACGCTTCCCAATATAATTCTTATGTACCGTTACACATGCCCCACTCACACTCGCCACGACAAACACATACGAATCACTTAAAGTATATGTATATATGTATATATATATTATGTAACTACATACATATGTAGTTACATCTGTATAGTTGAGGAAGTGAGAAAAAAAGCTCAATATCGCAACTATTTGTGTTGTAGTTTTGATGCACTCGGCACCGGACGCCCGGACGTACACCCGTGCAACCCATAGACGGGGTTTACACTTGTTACCGATTCATGAGCTGCTGTTCGTTGGTAAATAATTTCATAATAATGTTGTTGTTGCGCGCATAACAAAAGATAAGTGCAAATACAAATTGCAACAATTACAATTGGGTTAATAATATATCGTTTTAATACTTATCCGAAGGCCCCCAACATATGCAAGCTCCTCACTGCGTCCCACCGCACTTGAAAGCCACACAAGAACGCAGTTCTTACTGCTGCACTGACACACACACACACACAAGCAATTAGAAGAGAGGCAGGGACGTTTTTGACATTTTGCAATAAAATAAATTAAACAATAAATTATAAATTTGTACAAAAAATGACTGTTGGACGAACAGGCGCACAGAAATGCCTAACCGCACGAAAGCGAACATACGTACGGCCGGGGCAGCAGCAGAGACGCTGACGGCGACTGCGACTGCGATTTGTTGTTGGCCTGTGTGAAAGTGTTTTTTCTGTCCGCTCTCTCTCTCTCTCGCTCTCTCTGCTCCGCCTATTCCAATTCTCTTTATGCGACGAAGTGCGTGGTCCATGTGTGCTTGCTTGGCCACCGCGTCTAATGCGCCCGACTCCGAGTGAGTGACCAACTGGGAAGCCCGCTTCGGTTAAGCTGGGGGGGTAAAACACTCATGTACTGTGCTTTATGACCGACAAACAACACACATGTTCCGGCATGCAGCATACCAGGTACCCTGGTAGTGTATCGTATCTGGGCTGCGTTGGTTTTTATCTGCTTAAGACCGGGAATGCCCATTTTCTATCTCAGCTGCTTGTCGAAGGTCAGTTGCGGACTAAGTATTAGAAATGGGTATTTTAGGAACCCAGCAATGGTCAGTAAAAATAAATAGTGTATTATATATACTATTAAAATTATTAAATATACTACTCAACTGCTTAGGTACATAAGTACATATGTACATATGTATGTTTGAAAGCCATTACTGGATCAATCAAACATATTCCTTTTTTTGTTGTTTTTTTTTTTTTGTTTGCGAAGGCTAGCTCATTAAGCGATTTAAATCCGCCGAACATCAGTAAATACAAATGAAAACACGACTACATTGTTTAACCTGTGACACTTAATAATCTGCAACTGAATTTGGGTCTGGTGTCCCAGACGAATCCAAAAACACACACACAAACACATACGTGGCATTACTGGATCTCAGCCTTATCTGCCAGACCGAACCGATGCAAACATGTGTCTTAAGGTCAGTCAATGAAATCTAAGAACATACCCGCACCAGATCAAAGACCGAGCACTTGACTAATCGTCGGCTTTTCGAGAGATTACTGGAGCCGGTAACCTATTTATCGCCCAAGCCGATGTTCGGAGCGGCAACGTCATTGCCTGCAATACGATCCCAACCGATTCGGTGCGGTCTTATCAACGTCATGGACCGACGCTTTAAATAGCGGCCGCAGGCAGAGCCCAGAGTTTAATTGACGAGAACGCCTTAAGGATGAACGACATAGACTTGGAGCGGAGCAACCTTAAGCCGGCCATCAGCTACATCAGCACCTCACTCCATGAGGCTGTCAAGCTTCGTCTGGATGTGGGTGCGACGGGTGCTATGGCCGAGGTGCCACCGCAGACCATACCCCGTCGCTTCCAGGACGTGTGCCAGCAGTACGCGGATCACCCGGCCCTGGTCTGGGAGACGCCCGGCAAGGGGACAAATGGCTGGACCACCCTGACCTATGCCGATTACCAGCGCAGAGTGGAACAGACTGCGCTAATGCTACTTGATGCTGGATTAGAGGAGCGCAGCTCGCTGGGCGTCTTGGCCTTCAATTGCCCCGAATGGTTCTTTGCCGAGCTGGGAGCACTGCGAGCTGGAGCCGTTGTGGCTGGCATTTATCCCAGCAATTCGGCGGAGGCAGTGCGTCATGTGCTGGCCACCAGCGAGGCCACCGTCTGCGTGGTGGACGATGCTCAACAGATGGCCAAGCTGAGAGCTATCAAAGAAAAGCTGCCACGCCTGAAGGCAGTCATTCAACTGCACGGACCCTACGAGGCATTTGTTGACAAGGAGGAAGGCTACTACAGCTGGCAACAGCTCGAGGAGAAGACTTACTCGACTGCCCTCAAGCAGGAGCTTCTCGCAAGAGAGAGTCGCGTTTATGCCAATGAATGCGCCATGCTGATCTTCACCTCGGGAACTGTGGGTCTGCCCAAGGCTGTGATGCTCACCCACGACAGCATTGTGTTCAACGCCAAGTCCGCATCTGCCTGCATGAAGGACGTGCAGGAAGGAGCAGAGAGCATGGTCAGCTTTCTGCCACTCAGTCATATTGCTGCTCAAATATTCGATGTCTTCCTGGCCCTCGAGCACGGCGGTTGCGTCACATTTGCCGACAAGGATGCCCTCAAGGGAACTCTAGTGCGAACCTTCCAGAAGGCCAAGCCCACGCGGATGTTCGGCGTGCCGCGAGTCTTTGAGAAGTTCCAGGAGCGTCTGGTGGCAGCGGAGGCCAAGGCCAAGCCTTACTCCAGGCTTCTGCTGTCCAAGGCCCGCGCCGCAGTGGCTGAATACCAACTAGCCGTGATCGCAGGGTGAGTCCACGGCACTTCCATTCTAAGTGGATCAGAATTACTCACTTCCCCCCATTTTTATAGTGAGAAACCTTCGATCTATGCCACTACCAAATACTGGCTGGCCTCACGCATGATCCGACCCATCCGTCAGATGATGGGCCTGGACCATTGCCGAAGCTTTTTGACCGGCGGTGCTCCCACCTCCGATGAGATGAAGAACTTCTTCCTGGGCCTGGACATAGCTCTAGGCGAGTGCTACGGCATGTCAGAGACTGGCGGTGCCATCACCCTGAACACGGAGATCTCGAACCTTTTCAGCTCAGGCCAGCCGATTGCCGGTGTGGAGGTGAAGGTGCAAGAGCCCGATGCCAGTGGCAAGGGCGAGATTGTACTGCGGGGACGCAGCAACTTCATGGGCTACCTGGGCCAGCAGGAGAAGACCGAGGAGACCATCAATGCGGACGGTTGGCTTCTCTCTGGTGATCTGGGCTACTTTGACCCGCACGGCAATGTGGTTATCTCCGGCAGGCTCAAGGAACTCATTATCACGGCTGGCGGCGAGAACATTCCGCCCGTTCACATCGAAGAACTAATCAAGAAGGAGCTGCCCTGCGTAGCCAATGCTCTGCTGGTCGGCGACCATCGTAAGTATCTCACAGTTCTGCTGTCCCTGAAAACAAAATCCGATCCCGCAACGGGCATTCCGTTGGATGGACTGCGGGACGAGACCATCGAGTGGCTGCACGAGCTGGACATCAATCAGACGCGTCTCTCCGAGCTTCTCAACATTCCTGCCGACCTGCAACTGCCCAACGAAACGGCTGCCATAGCCGCAGCTCAACAGATAGCGGCGGAGCCCAAGCTCCTTGAGGCCATCGAAGCGGGCATCAAGCGGGCCAACAAGAATGCCATTTCCAATGCCCAACGCGTGCAGAAGTTCGCCCTCATCCCGCACGAGTTCTCACTGGCCACTGGCGAGCTGGGACCCACACTCAAGATCAGGCGGAACATAGTCCATGCCAAGTACGCACCGATTATAGAGCGTTTGTACAACTGAAAGATTTCCTAGTTTAGGATTACATTTTAATGAACTTTGGCACTTATACTCGTAGATTTTCGTAGACATTGATTATTATATTATACATATTTCGGTACATAATTGTTTACTTTGTTTAATTGAATTTGTTGCTCGTGGACTATGATCTCTCGCGCTCGTGTCTGATGGGCTGCGATTCCATTTTGCTCATGTACTGAAAATATGAAAGTGGTTAAGTGTGCATGGCAACATAGTTCCGGTACTTCAACCAACCACTTCATTGATTGCCTTCAGTTTCCGTTTGCTCTGCTCTTTGCGATCCACGAAGCGCCTTAGCCAACGCAGACATGCAAAAGTGATTGCTATGGCCACCAGCATCCAGATGATCACCGAACGAGAGTCAAAGCGATCTGTGGGTATCTTGGGCCAGGTCAGTGGCGGAGGTGCTGGGTTCAGCTCATCGTACGATTGCTATTCAACCAAAGTACATTTTTATTGTGTTTCCCTACTGAACTCTACTGATGTGAACTTACCGCACACTGAACTTTGCTGTGTATGGCCTCGCCGACACTCAGGAGCACAATCGAACGATTGCGTGAGCCCTCGATACAGTCTATGCCCTGCACCTTGGTCAAGTCTTCGTTCCAATCGCTCAAGAGGCTCCAGTTGCGAGCAAAGTTAAGGGAAGCGGGAGCTCTAAGCAGGAAATTCTTCACTAACCAGGCACAGTTCCAATGGTTATCCGCTAGATTGATGTGCCCAAACTGAAGCAGGCTGCTCAAATTGACCGAATGAAGAAGATTCGAGCTGAGATCCACACTCAGGGAGAGTCGGTTTAAGGCTGGCGGCAGACTTTGCAAGAAGTTGGCTTCGATCAGAGCATTTCCATCCAGTTTTAGACGCTTCAAATGTGTCTGATGTGACATTAGTTTGGGCGATATTTCCTCGATTCGATTGTGCGAAAGTATTATCTCCTCCAGCTGGCTGTTGGCTTGGAACAAGCTTTCCGATAAGGAAGCTATTTGATTGAAACTTGCATCGATTTGGGTCAGACTAACAACCGACTGCAGACTTTCAGCCTCAATGTGGCTGAGAATATTGTGGCTGATGTTGAGACGCTGCGAAATGGAAGATCAATGGAGGCTTCTATATTTTATTTTGCTGTCAAATTCACTCACCTCTAGTGAATCCAAACCCAATAAACTTTCCTTCGTTAGCTCCGTCAAATTGTTGTGACTTAGGACCAAGTCTTGGAGCTCAATGTTATTCCCAAATCCCTGCGGCTCCAGCTTCTGCAGTAAGTTGTTTGCGAGATTCAAATGAACCAAGCGAGCAAGACCGCGTTGAGTGAGAAATTGAAGACTGCTCAATAGATTCCCCTCCAGGCGGAGACTGCGGAGATGTGTATTGCTTTCAAAGGCAAGGGGATCGACGCCTTTAATCAGATTATGGTGAAGCGTCAGACTGGAGAGACGATGTAGGCCGGAAAATTGAAAGCCATCGATGAGCATCAGTCGATTTCCATGGAGCTGGAGGTGCTTCAGGTGTGAGAGGCCATGGAAAGTGTCATCTGCAAGCTGTTCGATCTGATTGGAGGCCAAGTTGAGCATCTGCAGTTGTGGATAGAGCACGAAGCTGTTGTCCTCCAGGCTGCACAGCCTATTATGACTGAGATCCAGGGATGTTAGTGCCTCCAAGGGCTCACTGGACCACGATCTCAGCTTAGTCAGGTTGTTGTGGGAGAGCGAGAGCGACTGCAGTCGGGGCAGACCATGCAGGGAGAAGTCATCCAAGCTGCTCAGACCACTATGTTCCAGCTCCAGGTGCAGAAGCTGGCCAAATCGCATGAAGAAAGCATTCTCCAGATGCGGCAGGCTGCAGTTGCTCAGAGTCAGCGATGTCAGGACATCCATGTCCCTGATCATTGTCACCTCTGTCTTGTTGCAATTGCTTATTTGCAGGCAGCTGACCCTGGAGCCGCAGCAGCAGAGCAGCATCCAGAGCCAGACTAGTATTTGGTACACCGCGTGGCACATTTCAATGTAGACTAACCCAACGGCTCGCCGTTTCTGTAACCACAGGGTCTTATCTCTTTGCAGGCGCTTGTGGAGCCAGTTGACAAGCCATCAAGATAGTGAATGAACTGATCAACCAGCCAACGTTTGCCCAAAGACAATATTTACTTCGCTTAAAGTTAAAAAAAATAAAAATATACATGGCTGCCGCTTGAAGACCTCGCCAAATGCATGTAAGTGGGAAAATATGGGTTAAGGCAATGCATTTTGAGCCATTTGGAGTACGAATAAAATAAGGAAGAAGCTTTGAGAACATTTATTTGATCACATAAAAGATATATTCATAGCTTACAACTCTTCGTTTATAATTTGTATTATAAAGTGAATTTATTGTGTGCAGATATAATCTCGTTTAGGTAAGTTATCTTTAGATTTTGTATGTCTACATAGCAATATTTTGCCCCTAAAAATAAATGTGAAAATCTACTTTTTGCACAGCCCAAACAATTCATTCCATTCAAACCATTCATGAGGTTTATTCATAGCATTAAAGAAGTGTGTGGCAGAAGGATAATTTATGGCCGTTTAATAACCCACATATTTTTGCATGAAATGTATGAATGAATGTGCTGAATGCATTTGAATTTCGTATGCACGAGTGTCTACTTTGGCAATGACACCTGCATTCATTATTAAACAAATCAACAACATTTACAAACCAAATATAAATATTCCAAATTAATGCAGACGCATAGCGTTACCCACAGACCCATGAATATTTCAATTAAAATATGCAATTTCCACAATTGAAAACTCCTCCACCACTACCATCCATCATACCAGACACTCATACAACCACACTTGTCTCTGTTTCTGTCTCTGTTTCTGTTTCTGTATCTTCTCTTTTTGTCTCTTTCATTCCATTCTGTTTGGTTTATTTGTATATTTGCTTTTCACCTGCATTTCAACTTTTACTTTATCCTATTTGCCTGCGGATTTTGACGGCATTACGAGAATCTCTGTGTGGCAGCATCAGTAGAAGCTTCCAGCTGTCCCAGAGACAGAAAGAGAGAGAGAAATAGCAAGAGATTTGGAGAGTGAGAGGGGACTATAGCGGAAAAGCCGCAACAAGCAATGCACTTAACCAATGGATGGAGGCATCCGCACAAAGCTTGGGGCTTGGCTGGGGCCAACAGACCCAGACCCAGACCCAGAACCAGAACCACCTGGCAAGTAGAACGATTATGACTGTACAAATTTGCCCGTTGCCACAATTGTTGTTATGTATATTAATTTGAGTTTTGAACCAGTGCCAAAAAATGTTGTTGCTGCGGCTAAAGGCTGTAAATTGAAATTGAACTGTGGTGCAGCGAACCCAAACGCCCACTTACAATGTTTGAGTTGCGGCAGGTCCAGCCCGGACATTCCGTCTCTGATTGCAATTGTCTAAGGCAAAGGTGTGCGAAGATGCGATTTCTTTTATTATTTTATCATAGGAAATTGCAATGCATTAGGGCACTAATTCTATAGAAATTGTTGCAGCTAAAGTATTCAGATATTATTTTTAATTTGCCTAAAAGTTTGCTACGTTGGAAAAAAAGTATTTCCAGCCTTACAAATTTCTTATACTTACGCTAGCAACTAAGTAAAAAATAAAATAATAAATATGTACTTGGAGCCAGACACTTATTTGCATTTGCCTCAAAGTCTAAGGCTTTGTACACCAGATTTGGCGTCCAACTGTTGATTCTTACTAATCCATATTATTATTTATACTTCAGCCAAAAATAAACTCTAGCTTTACTGAATAATATTTCTTTTATGTAGTTTTTATTCACTTGATTCAGAGTTGATTCAGCTGATGTCATAAATATTGCTTTTGCCTTCTCCAACACTGATTAAGAGCTCAATATAAATGGTTTATAGTTTTCAAGAAGAACGAATTAATTATTCTTATTTCTTTGCAGAAAAAAATGTCCAGTGCACACTTTTGAGCTGCAAGTGAAATGTTTGATTGATGGCTTTGTGACACCTTCACTGGCTGAGCTGGCATTCAACATTTTTCCTCGCCTTTGCATGGTAAAAATTTAATTCGATTTCCACGGGTAAATGCGTTTTTAAAGTGCAACTGAAATGACTGCAATTGACTTGAACTTTGTCCGGCACGCCCCCGCGGCCACAGTCAGCCAGTGTGCCAAAATGACAAATTTAATATGTACTTCTTGTCTGCCGCTTGTTTGTTTGCCTTGCCGACGCTTTAGCTGCATTTTCCTTTGGCCAATGGACAAAAAAAAGAAGCTGAAATTGCCAAGCTTGGCCCGGTGCCAGCAGAGCAGGCAACATATTTGCCAGAAGCACTGCAGATGGTCTGGAGGAATAGTTTTGGGCAAAGCAAAACTGTTTTTATTTGCAAGCAAGTCTGGGACTCTCGACTCTATCCAGGGACTCTATATCCTTCCATCTCTGTGTGTATATGGTATTAAAATATTTTTATACTCATTTCAGCTGCCAAAATTATTTCAATTTAGTTCCGCAAAATAAATTTGCCTTCATCTTTTTGGCGCTAGTCTTTTTTTAGCTTCTCAGAGTTTTCTCCGTTGCCCATTTGGCTCGCGTAATGAACAGGAAAGTGCCATATGATTTACTTATATTTTATGAGTGATGTTTTAAGTTTGCCGGATAACATTTGGCTCAAGTCGGATGCATGACTTGATAATTGGAATATTTCATGTTGAAGTGCAATTTGAGAGCAAACTGTTGCAGTGACTTAAGCATATCTTAAGTGAAAGAAAACTTCGTTATGCTATTTCAAGGAGACATTACTTGTATCACAATTGGCCAAAAATGTAACCTTTTCTTAAGTTCTTAATTACGTTTCCTCTCCTTTCTACCTTTCAATTCTTTTGGCAATTTCACATTAATTTCCACTGAAATCAGCTTCATTTAAAACTCCTCGCCTTCTTTGCCATCACTATAAATATTACAATAGATGCATTGTTCGTTCTCTTAACATTTTTTCTACTGGTCGCGCCCTCGTTCGGCATGAATGGCCCTTGGCCGTAGCTCTCTGTGTTACCCTTGGCTCATTGTAATTGCAATTCTGACCGTTGGCAAAGTCCAAACAACGGCCAGTAAAAATAGAAGCTAAGCTCGCTTCGTGACTGTTTGTGGCCGAATCCCTGCCCTTTCAATTTTAATAGAATTCTTACTTTATTTACTGGAGCAACAACTGCACTGCCACACAATGCGAATTTCTTAATCTCTTTTCGCCTCCTGTTTTTTAAAGCCAAAACCAAAGCTAAAGAAAGCAAGCAACCATGGAGGAATGCTTGCTTCGGGATCGAATCCTAAGATACTCTTTCAGATCTATCGAGACAAAAATGTCTTGGACGTTTCGTCTTTAAATGTTGGTCAACAAAACTATGTAAATAATATGTACCTAATATGAATATATGTATACAAAATTGCCGAAATTAAAGACTTCTTCTAGGGCATGAAAAAGTGGCGGAAGAATCTAACAATTCCAAAAGTTTTCATTACAGGAAACACAGGACTGCATTTAGTTTGGGGTTTCCTTTTTTTGCCTTTGAAGTTGCAACAATTTCTGCTGCACGTGTGTGCGTGTGTGTGAGTGTGTATCTGCTATGCATGAGTGTGTGTGTGTTTATTTATTTGGTGTGCAGCTAACAATTTTGGCATGCGAACAATAAACGAAGGAAAGGACACGAATACGTATACGGATGCGGATACGGACAAGTACACGGACAGGACCTGAAATAGCCGCCTGCCACCGGCTGACTTTCAGGCACTATTTAGCTTCACATGTACGCTTTTCCGTATTTAATTTCATTTTTCCCTGCGTTCGTTCAGCTCTAGGTCCAGTCCCATTCGTAGGTCTAGTCCCAGGTCCAGGTCCAGTCGGAAATATTCCATCTGTGGTGTGGGAAGGCAGGCTGCAATTTGGGTTTTGTTTGCAGTTTTCCCATTTTTGTGTTGGCTTTCAGTGCTGCACAACTCTCGCTTGTAATTTTCTGTGCATTTTTTAGTGGGCTTTTGTGGGAGGGCGGGCGTGGGCGTTGTTGTTTTAATTGCTGCTGACAACGAAACTTTCAACAAATCAGAGTCATGTCTGACTGAATTTGCAGCCCCCACCGGCAGTGCCAATTGCTGAAAGAGAATTGCAAAAAGGATGATGGCAAAATGATTGAATAATCGACGTAACTTTCTGTGAATTTTCTGGGTGTGGCATTTATCAAAAACCAAACAAAATGAAAATAAATTGAGTGAAAAGTTTCCATGAACATTTCCATTCCAAATGAAGTTTGCGAGCAAAAGCTATAAATGAATTCTAAGAGGTGCTCCAATTACATAGGAATTTTATCATTTATTAAGAGCTATTATTAAATGTTGAGGATGGTCTATGAATTTATTGATATGGTAAGAAATTCGAATTGCACTTGCTTAAAGCTTAAAGTTGCAGAAGTTTTAGAATTTTGTGTATTTGGAATGGAACAAAAATGAAGTAAATTGTTGGGATCATTTGGTTATAGTGCACAAAAGTCGGAAGTTTACTGTTGGCTTTATTTTTTGCCAATTATTTTCCTATAATTTAATATTTACATTTTTAATTACTTTCCGGATGCATTTTCCATGGGAGTATATTTCATAAAGCAGTGAATTATACACCGTGTTTCGCTTCAATATAAGTGCATGACGGAAAATGTTTTTCCATTCCAAATGGGGCCCGTTCATTCAGCAATTAACCCAACACAGACGCCAATAGGGAAATGCATCCTCGTGTGGCATTGTAGATAGATGGAGATGCAAATTTGTTGGCAGTCGGTGTGCAGAAGGCAAAGGCGAACCGAGTGATGTCTGAGCTCTTGGCTACAACAGCGACAACTGGCTGCTACAACGCCTCCGGGCTGCCGCAGTCAGCCCCACCATTCGCATCAAAATGGCTGACTGCACACACATTTCCGGGAGAGCGCAGCGCTCCGTGTTGCATGCCAATAAATCATAACGCTCCAGCTACAGACTGCAAA